CAACTCATAGTCTGTTGTTTCTCTCTATGAATATATCTTTTCTGGATAATTCATACAACTTAAATCACACCTTTTGTGCCCACCCTCCCATTTAAGTACAGTGCTTTTGAGACTTCTACACTGTAGCATATGCCAGTACCCCATTCTTCTTTCTGCAGATCTAGTCAGCATTGTCGTACATGCCACAGCACTTTTATCCACCCATTCACTGATGAATATTGGGAATACCATTGCTGTAGTAGCACCTGCTATGTGCATAGCACCTGCACAAATGCTGAAAACTTCGTTTTAGTTTCTTTGTATATTTACCTGTACATAGACTTTCTGGGTCGTGTGTTAATTCTGCATTGAACTTTTTATGCAACTCTTAAGCTGTTTTCCGTAACTACAGAATGAACCATTTTTCATTGTAGTAACAATGTGTGAGAATTGCTTTGCATCCATGTTATTATGGTCTGTCCCACCCTCCCCTGCCCTTGGCACTAAAGCTATCCTTGTGAATGAGAATTGGTACCAGTCTTAGGGTTTCTTTTGCTGTGGAGAGACACCTTGACCATGGAAACTCTTATAAAGGAAAACAGTTAATTGGAGCGGCTCTCTCACAATTCAGAGTTTTAGTTCATTATTGTCACGTTGGTTAGCAAGGAAGCTTGCAGGTAGACATGATGCTGGAGAAGGAGCTGAGAGTTCTTAGATCTTGATCCAAAGGCAACAGGAAGTAAACTGAGACACTGGCCATGGTTTGAGCATATATGAAACCTCAAAGCCCACCTCCACAGTGACGCACTTCTTCCAATAAGGCTACATCTACTCCAACAAAGCCACACCTCCTAATAATGCCACTCCCTATGAGTTTATGGGGACCAATTATATTCAAACTACTACTACAGCACTTCATCATTGTTTCTTTATTTCCCTAATAGAAATGATATCCAACGTATTTTTATGTGTTTGTAGGCCATTGGTATGTCTTTGGGAAAATACTTGTTGATGTCACTTTCATGTTTTATGCCCATTTATAATTTTTATTTTCTGATCCTTCATGATTGTAGAAGAGCTGTATATATTCTGGTTGTTGGATTACTTGAAATTTAAACTACCTTTTTTTTTTTATTATGTGTGTTAGCACACATGTGCCATGGCATCTCAGTAGGCTGCTTGTGGGGTCAGTTCTCTCCTTCCACCCTGTGGATCTATTTATTGAACTCAGGTTGTCAGACGTGATGGCAGGTGTCTTTACCCATTGAATCATCTTGTTTCCTCTGTAGATTTAAGTCTGAAATAATGTCAGAAGAAACAAAATAAAAACTAAACTATGGATACCTTTGTGGTTTACTTGACTTCCCTGTTTATCTTTCTGACTGTTACCTATCTTCTATTTTAGATTTGCGTTATTATATTTATTGTTGTATATTATGCCATCCAATTTATCATCAGTCTACATAGTCACGATTTCTCAATTTTTGTAGGTGCACATCAAAAACATTCCAACTGAAATTTGCATCTGGACTGAACATGTAGTTTTTCTTGTCATTCCTTAATGTAACAACTATATTATATTAGTTATGCAGCCAAGCTGTCTTTGAACTCATGGAGCTCTTTCTGCTTCACCTTCACGAGTGCTAAGATTATAGGTGTGGGCCATTATGCTTCACATTATTTTTGATTTTTTGAGACAGTTTACAGTGTAACCCAGTCTGGTGGTGGGGTTTTCTGAAACTTACCCACTTCAGATACCAAAGGATATCTATTTCATTCCCTTCCTGTCCTGCCAACTTCTCCCCTTTTTTGGTACTGGGTGTGGAACCCAGGGTCTTGACAGTGATAAGCATATGCTCTGCTACTGAAGGCATCTGCCTCCTATAGCTGAAATTAAGGCTTCTTGTAGGGAAGACTGTATTCTGTTTTGTGTATTGCTATAAGCCCTAAGATTTACTCACTATTTAGCAAATGGGTCAGAAAGCCAAATGGGCTCTCTGCCTATTTTTGATGGTCTGTAAACTTTTAATGGTTTTTAGTTTTTAAGATGATTGAAACAAAATCAAAAGGAAATTAATATTTCATGATATTAGAAAATTATATGAAATTCAAATTTCAGGGTACAAACTGCAACTTTTTTGGGACGCAGCCATGCTCACTCATTTGTATATTTTTTCTGGCTGTGTCTGTCCCTCCGTGGCAGTTGAGTAGCTGAAGCATTGTGTGGTCCACAAGTCTGAATCATTTAATATATCTGACCTTTTACAGCCAAAGAATTGTCTGGCAATAGACAGCCAATAAATGTTTATTGAATGAATGAATGCTAACTTATATTAACACAAAGGAATTTAAGTGGGAAGACCTTCAATCATTTAGTTCTTGAAAATTTGAGCTTAATTGATTGTTAAATATGTACTTGAATTGTGTGTTGTTTTTGTCATAACTTAGTTTTGTTCCCTTCTCTTCACCCTGCAGATATTATGAACCAATAAGGAAATTGTAGAGAGATAGTAATTCTTGGAATAGTTTTGGCTAAGATAGGCATACTACATTTTTAAAAGTTTTTGTTCATCCCCCTGCCCTCCTCCCTTGGGATCGGATCTCACTATGTATCTCAGGCTAGGCTGGAGCTGCATTTTTCTCATTTTAATTTGAAAAAAGCTACGAAGGAAAAGCACCCATTTTTATTACTTTTTTTTCTATACTGGGGATCAAATCCAGGGTCATGTACACACTAGGCAAGTTTTATGTCACTGAGCTATATTTACACACCCTATTACTCTTACTTAGAAAGATTCATGAAAGTTTAAGACTATTTCCCACTTGTTACTTTAAGATCAATCACTTGCTTGCCATTGGAGGAGTAATTAGATAATTTCAATGGAATACTTAATCATGTATGGATAAAAATTGTATATTCTCCCATGTCTCATTCACCTTACGATGTGTTTGTTGCGTTTGTACTTGAGACAGAGTGTGAACACTAATGTATTAGTGATCTGTCAGTAGACATCTGACATAGTCTAACAGGAATATTGGATACTGGACAGATAGCATCATTTTATACAAAATGATTTTATATTTTTCTAGTTTTGCTTTTGTATATTTGAAAACTTAATTGTTTGCATTTGTAAGAGGTGTTAATAGAGGTTACATAATGAATCTCCCAAGGTATGGTATACCCCGTAACTGTGCAAACTGTCTTTATTTTTTGCTTTTATCAAAGGATACTAAGAGGGTAATGCAGCTTGTGGTTCTTAGTGAAAAAGTATGTGTTGTAGCTCCTTGCCTTGCCTGGAAACTGCCAGATTTACTGTAGGAAAAGCTTCCTTATCATGTTAGTAGAGTAGATCCTGGCTTGGTGCTTTTCTGTCCTTTATTTCAAAGGGATATTGCTATCTGAAGTCTTATTTTTTTTTTCTGGAATTTCTCTGTAAGAATGCCCTGCAAGAATTATTATCTAGCTGGCTCAAGGGGTGAGAGTTCACAATAATAATTATTCTATTTTACCTAGTTATAATTAGCTTCCATTTAGTCATTCTACAAGTTTTTACCATGTGTGGATGAAACATTGTTTAAACTCTGGAATAAAACTCCTGAAAAGATAAAGGGGCTTATGCTCTGTGGGGCAGATTAAAAACAGATTAGGATGTAGGATGACTGTGGTGATGCACACTGTCTTAGTTAGTTAGGGTTGTCTCAGGGTTAATATTGCTGTGATAAAGCACCATGACCAAAGCAACGTGGGAAGGAAAGGGTTTATTTGGCTTCTGCTCTCTTACAACCGCTCATCACTGAAGGAAATCAGGACAGGAACTCAAACATGACAGGAACCTGGAGGTAGGAACAGCTAACTGACTTAGTCCTTATGGCTTGACTAACCTGCTTTCTCCCAGGACCAGCTGCCTAAGAATGACACCACTCAGAATGGACTGAGCTTTCCCCCATTAATTACTATTTACGAAAATGCCTACAGGTGTAGACTTGCCTACCACCCTATCTTATGGAGGCATTTTCTCAGTTGAGACTCCCGCCTTTCCAATGACAGAAGTTAGGAATCATTGTGAACCACCATGTTGGTGCTAGGCATCTAACGTGGTACTTTTTCAAGAGCAACAAGTACTCTTAAGCACGAGTCACCATTCCAGATTCTATAAACTTTTTAAAATTATGGCCCAATTTTAACATTTTCCTCATCCTTTGGAGACAGGGTCTCATGTAGCTGAAGCTACATGGCCTAACAGAACCTATTATTTTGTACAGGTAACTCATGCTAAAAAAAAAGATTATGTTTACTTTTCTCTTTTTTTTAAAAAAAGAGATGATACTTGATTCTTTCTAGTTTAGTTGCTCTTTATTTCTTTTCCTTGCCTAATTGTCTTGCTGTGATTATCTTGCATCTTGTTGAATAAGAAGTACTGAGAATGGATATTTCTCTTGTGTTTTGATAATTTTTTATAATTTTTGATAATTTTCAGGGAAAATTATTCAGGATTTCCTCTTTTCCCCATTTTGCAATGTTAGCTGGACTTTTTTTAGGTTTCCTTTATCATGGCAAGGATGTTGATTTCTGTTTCTAGGTTACTTAGTGTTTTTTTAATTGTTTTTATTAAAGAGTTTAGTAGTTTGTTAAATGTCTTTTCCCTATGTCTCCTGACATGATTATTTTATTAACATGTGGTATTTTGATTGATTTTTTTCAGATATTAAACCAGACTTGTTTTCTTGAAATCCTTTTTGTTCATGATATAAACACTTGTTTATATTCTGCTGGATTTGGTTTGCTTTTATTTCTTTGATGATTTTGATGTTAGCATCTACAAAGTATGAAGTATATTGGTCTCTAATTTTTCTTCTAATTTTGGTCATAATGTTTGTGTCCTTTGTCATCAGAGAAGTACTGACATTGCCTGAGTCTTAGAAAGTGTTCCCTTACCTTCTAGTTTTTGGAGGGTTTGTGAAGGATTGACATTAATTCTTTTTTAAGACTAATAGTATTTAAATTCATTTTTGTTTTTCAGGATTCTCCGTTTACAAATGCAGGAATGGGATCTAATCTGAATCTCTTAGGAGAAATCGAGTGTGACGCCAGCATAATGGATGGGAAATCCTTGAATTTTGGAGCAGTTGGAGCACTGAGTGGTATGTGGGCATTATGACATAGTCCTCTATTATTTGAAAAACTGAGTCTGTTACCATTTCATGCCTTCTGAAGACTTAGTCCTATATTTTTAATAATTTTTGTTTGGAGGAGTGCTGAAACAATTATTATTCCTCCTTTACTAAATAAAGATCATAAGATCTTAGGTATAAACAGTTTTTTCCCATTAATTTTTTTCCATTTTACATACCAACCCCAATCTCCCTCCATTCTCTCCCACCCCCCATGCAATTCCCCCCCCCCCCCCATCCACTCTTTAGATGGGGCAAGGCCTCTCTTGAGGCCTCAAAAGTCTGGCATACCAAGTTGAGGCAGGCCCAGGCCCCTGCCCCGCTGCATCAAGGTTTGGCAAGTTATCCTACTGTAGGGAATGGGCTCCAAAAAGCCAGTTCATGCACTGGGGATAAATCGTAGTCCCACTTCCGGGGACCCACAAACAAATCAAGCCCCACGACTATCACCAATATTCAGAGGGCCTAATTCAATCCAATGCAGGCTCCCCAGTTGTCAGCTCAGAGTCTGACAACTAGTGAACTACCACTAGCTCGGGTCAGCTGTCCCTGTGGTTTACCCAATCATGATCTTGTTCCCCCCTTGATGGTATGATCCCTCCTCCCTCTCTTAACTGAACTCCAAGAGCTCAACCCAGTGCTTGGCTGTGGATCACTGCATCTGTTTTCATCAGTTACTGCATGTAGGTTCTGTGATGACAGTTAGGGTAGTCACTAATCTGACTACAGGGGCAGGCCAGTTCAGGCACCCTTTCCAGTACTGGTAGGAGTCTTAACTGTGGTCATACTTGTGGATTCCTGGGAATTTCCTTAGCACCAGGTTTCTTCCTACTCCCCTAATGGCTTCCTCTATTGTGATATCTCTTTCATTGCTCTCCCTTTCTATCCCGTATAATAGACACAAAGCGAAGGATGAGAAAGGACCTCTTGTGGTTTCTGTTACATTGCGTATTAGAGGCCACTTGTCACAGGAGCTCGTGGCCAGTTTTCCCATTTCTTCCATTCATCTTACCATAGGAAAGCTGAGATCACAGCTGCATGCTGCACCGTCCATCTTTTCATGTTTGTTCTGGGGCTTCAATCAGGTCCTCAGCTTTGTGTGACAAGCATGTTTTCCTGCTGAGCCATCTCACAAGCCCACATTTATGGATTTTAATGGAACAGAAACAGGATTCCCTCCATTTCTTCCCCCTCTTTCTTCTCTTACAGAGTCTCATTATGTAACTCCAATTGTCCTTGAGCTTTTCAAACCAGGCAGGCTCTAACTTCTTCATACTCCTACACTAGCCCTTTGACAATTAGAAATTTTGGTTTGCAGCACCCTGCCCACTGCTGGAACTTTTTTTAAAATTTAAATCAGAATCTGTAGCAGTCTTTTTATATCAGTACATAAAAGATTTATTTAGTGGTTTATGATTCATTTAAAGATATATTAAGTGTACATATTCTTATCTGTAGATTTATGAAGTTTCTAAGGTATCCAGCCATATACACCTTGATCAAGACTTTAAATGTTATCATGTTAGGACTTAGAACATTGAACTGGAGAGATGGCTCAGCAGTTAAAAGCATATACTGTTCTTGTAAAGGACCCAAGTCTAATTCCCAGAAAACTTTACCATCTTAAAACCCCCTATAAATCCAGGGTAAGGGGAACTGATACTTCTGTTCTCCATGAACACCTTTACCCTCAAACCCATATGATGATGATCTAATTATTCTTTATCAATTAATTTGGCAGTTAAATATTGGGGTAAGAAAATAAATGATCAGAGAAGTAGCGGAGAAGGTACCAGTGACCTTCTATCTCTTTCATTTCTCCCTCTCTCAGTCCTTACTACTTGTCTCTGTCCTCAATCCTCCTAAACCTCTATAGTTAATTTTGGTCAGCTAGTTGTTAGCACTACCCTCTGATTCAAAGCAAACTCTAATTATTAAATGCAATCAAAATATCACACATTTCCCCCCTTTTCTCTAAATAAAATGGGAAAGTTTTAACTCTAACATAGTAAAACTATATATAATAAGAACAATTTTCTGGTAATAATTACATTCACAATGTCCAGTCCATTTGTATTTGGCAAATTTAGAGAAAATACTCCATTATCTATCCTATCTTGGTGAGTCCAAAGCATTATACCTAATTCACTTTCTATTTTAACTTGTATTACCAACCCCAAACAATCTTTTTATATCTTTCAACTTTACACCCTTTACATCTCTTCTGTTAGTTTCTTTTCTGAACCTTATAACAAGGAAAACTATTAACTATAACTATCTAGTCTTTAATTACATCAGTGACCCAGGAAGGATATAGTATTACCTGAGTAAACAGGAAGTGCAGAGCAGACAGCTTCCAAAACTAAGTAAGAAATGATAGAAACAGTTGGCTATCTGGACAGTCACCCAAGGTTCCTCTGTAATGTTGGCACATTCATCTTTGGCCAACAGGCCTAGAATATCTGACTTTTCTGTGAAGCAGTAATTTTGAAGAACTGTCCTGCCTTGTTTTGGTGAAGTGTGGCAGTCACTTTCTTTTGTGTCCTGCTTATCCAATCTGGAGAACATACTGTCAGCAGTTGAGAAAAGGGCCATTTCTTGCTCAGTTACTAACTTTTGACAAAAGAAAGTAAACTCTATGTGGAGTTTCTTCAGTGCCCATCATCTTTTCTGAAACAGCCCAAAGCATGATAATGCTTCTTTATCTTCTTCCTCCTCCTTTCTCTTTTTCTTTTCTTTTCTTTCTTTCTTTTTTTTTTTTTTTTTTTTGGTTTTCTGAGACAGGGTTTCTCTGTGTAGCCTTATCTATCCTGGAACTCACCAGGCTGGCATAGAACTCATGAAGATCTGTCTGCCACTACCTCCTGATTAAAGGCATTTACCACTGGCAGAATGGTTAAAAAGTTTTTACCAGGGGGCTGGAGAGATGGCTCAGTGGTTAAGAGCATTGCCTGCTCTTCCAAAGGTCCTGAGTTCAATTCCTGGCAACCACATGGTGGCTCACAACCATCTGTAATGAGGTCTGATGCCCTCTTCTGGCCTGCAGACATACACATAGACAGAATATTGTATACATAATAAATAAATAAATAAATAAATATTTAAAAAAAAGTTTTTACCAGCTGCATATTGACATTGGGCTATTGTCTAGAATATACAAAGAATTGAAGAACTTAAATAACAAAGAAATAAAATTGACAATCAACAAATGAGTAAATGAACCAAAAATACCATTTTCAAAAAAGAAATACACATGCCCAATAATTAAGTGCTCAGTATTCCTAGCCATCAGGGAAATGCAAAATTAAACTACTTTGAGAGTCATCACAATTGATATTGCAGCCAGTGTTGGAGAGCATGTGGAGAGAAAGAAGCCCTTAGCCATCATGGTGGGCACACAAACTAATGCAACTGTGGAAATGGAGAGTGCTCAAAAATTAAACATAGAACTGCTGTATGACCTAGCTGTTTCTCTTGTGGGAGATACTCAGAGGGGTAAATCCACACCCAACCACAGAAATACTCCTGTTTTTATTGCTGCTTAATTCACTTATATCAAAGAACTGGAATTAACCTAGTTTTTTTTTAACAGATAACAATATAACAATTTGGCATATATATATATATATATATTTGATGAAATATTACTCACCTCTAAAGAAAAATAAAATTTAAAACTGCAGAAAAATTGATGGACATGGAATGTATAATATTAAGTGAGGTCACACAATGTCAGAAACAAAAAAAATATATGCTGTCTTTCATGCATGGACTCTAGGCAATAATAGATGTATATATGTAAATAAATGTACATGTGGGCACAGTATAACAAGAAAGGCTAAGTGTAAGAGGTAAGGGAAGGTTGAATGCAGATAATGGACATGTGTTATGAAAGATGATGTAAAGTTAATTGTTTTTCCAGTTCTAATTCTGTCATGACTTTCATGTTTTGTGAGGCAAAGTCTTACTCCATAGATGAGGTTGATACTTACTTTGTATCTTTGACTACACTTATACATGTGGCAATCCTCCTGTCTCTGTATTCCAAGTGCTGGGGTTACAGGTATGCTCACCTTTTCCACACACTGTTCAGTGTCCCATGTTTTGGGATTGGTGTGTTGGTGGATGGGACACAGACACACTTGTATTTACCTTTGCTGCGTGGGCTCTCCTCCTACCAGGAAAAGATTCCGGCTGTTTTTCTTCCCATAGTGTGCCTGAATAGGTATTAGATGAGTACCATATTAACACTGTTTGAAAATTAAAATGTTGTAGTGTAGTGGCATTTTATTTGTATTTTAATAAATAAAACTTGCCTGAAGATTTGAAAAGTAAGCCAGCCACATTGGCTAGCCTTGCAGACCAGGCAGCAATGATCCTTAATCTCAGTAACCACAATGACACACCTTTAATCCCAGTAGCCACACTAGTTTGCCATAGAAACCAGGCAGTAGTGGTGCACACCCTTAATCCCAGAACTAGAGAGGATTTTAAAACGGGAGGAGACAGCTCTTAGCCTCAGTCTCATTCTCATTCTGAGATTCCTGGAGGCAGGATTGCCATTTCCGACTGAGGTAGAAGTAAGAGCCAGTGGCTGGCTGCTTTGCTTTCCTGGTCTTCAGGTTGAACCCCAATATCTCTCTCTGAGTTTTTATTAATTGTGTTTTAAAATGTGTACTTCTTAGTCTCAGGTTAGAGTTCCCCAAGACCAGTATTTCTCAACCTTCCCAAAGCTGCAACCCTTTAATACTGTTCTTCCTGTTGTGGTGAACCCTAACCACAGAATTATATTTGTTGCTACTTTATAACTATAAATTTGCTACTGTTAATGAATTGTAATGTAAATATCTGATATGCAGATGGTTTTAGACTACGCCTGTGAAAGGATCGTCTAGTTCTCAAAGGGTTCATGATCCGCAAGTTGAGAACTGCTTTCGTAGACTATATTTTAAGTTTTTATTGTGTTCATGTTAAGTTTGTGTTAGTACATTTGGTGTCTGTAAAGAATTTCCAAGATATTTTAAAGTTATTGAAACAGCACAAAACTAAGTGGAGAAGTGTGAAGACATTTCTGATTTCTTTTTATGTCAATTTTCTTTTGTAGGAATCAAGAATCCAGTCTCAGTTGCAAACAGACTCTTGTGTGAAGGGCAGAAGGGCAAGCTCTCTGCAGGCAGGATTCCTCCCTGGTAACCACTCTTCCTCTTGACTTCTGTCTTGGGATGTTAGTGTTTAAAGGCCGCTTTAATCCACAGAGGATGATGCTCTTGGTTCTGTACCAGCAATCACACATCTAAGTCACTTTGTTCTGTAATGGTGGCATACTCTACAGCTGATAAGCTCCAGATGGAATAGAATCTCATGGCTCAAAGTAGATTTTAATTAATTTCTGGATTTGTATGCTGTTGATTCTCCAGAGGATTTTGTGTCACCAAGTAATCAATTAGGGTTATTTTGTTCTGAAACTCAAAACCTAAAGATACTGGAGCACAGTGTCTAAAGTAATTAGTTTTGGGACATTCATAGAAAAATATATGTTGCATATTGTGAATAGCCATGTTGCAACTGTTATCCAGTAATACTAATAATTAGCAATGTCTTGTCTTTTACCTTATTCATCTTACTCGGAAGAGGTAAAAACATAAAAAGATCAGTATGACAGATTTGCAAATTAAGGGGATTCAGTCTTTGATGACAGTGTCGTCTAGGCCGCTGCGATGGGGAAAAGATGTACTACGTAACTAGTGCTGGGGCAGGTGGGCTGTATCATTATAGAGCAATAAGTTTATCACATTAGTCAGAAAATTACAGTGCAAATTTAAAGGTTAAAAAGACTGGGTTGGAAAGATGTATGACACAGAGGTTAAGGGCACTTGCTTAAAGAGGACCTCAGTTCAGTTCCCAACACCCATGTGGTGTTTTACACCCATCTATAATTCCAGTTGCAGGTGATCTGACATCTTCTTCTGACCTCTGTGTGTACCAGGTACTCAGATTGTATGCATGCATACATGCAGGGAAAACACTCATACATATAAAATAAAAATCAGTCTTAAAAATGTACAATATAAAATTTTCTTGGCAGAGTATAAAGCTGTAAACAGCCTAAATGTTTTCAGTGGTTAGAAAATTTGCTTTCTAGTCCTATTACTAAGTAGAAAAAGGAGGGAGACATTAATTCTAATTTACTCTACAACACAGTATCTTTGAGGGAATGTTTACACAAAGTTTATACTCTCATAAGTGTAGAGGTTGAGAAGTTCATGTTCATAGTTCTAGCCTGTTTGGGTTGGTGTGGACTTTCTTTTTGCCTTGCAAGTAGTTGCCTTCTTGTTTGTCCTGTCATTGAAACTATATGGGAAAAGGAAAGGGTGAGGAGTCTGTGGAGAAACAGATGGGAAGGAGAGGTTAAAAGAGAGGAAGATAGAGAGAGGGAAAGGGGGAAGGAGGGAGGAAAAGGTGAGGAGAGGAAGAGAGAAGTCAGAGAGTGAGACAGGGAGGATGAGTGAGAGGGTCTTGGGAATGCCATGTCTTGTACTAGTACAGTGATACCTGTCACGGGAGCCGTACCCACAGGGTGCTCTCTCTCAGTTTATAGCAAGAGATCTGTACATTGTAGAATTAAAAATAAAATGAAAGTTAACTTCTATTTACATTCTTTTTGATTTGTTGAGACAGGGTCTCACTTGTAGTTCTGACTTGCCTGGACATTGATTTATAGGCCAGCTGGCCTTGAACACACAGAAATTTCTTGGTCCCTGTCTGCTAGGATAAAGGTATGCATCACCATGCCCAGCTATAGTTTCTTAAAAAACAACAGCAAAAAGCCTGCAAAATAATATGCTGAACTAGTTGATACCACCTAAGTTAGGGAATAAAATATCACCAAAGAATTGGAGGCTATCTAGACTGAAGTTTTCTTTCTTCTTCTTCCTTCTTCTTTTGAATCTTGTCATAAAGCCCAGACTGGCCTTGAATTTGGGATCCTCGTCCTGTTGATTGCTGGGAGTACAGTAATAAACAATCCCTCATGCTCAGCCAGCTAAGGCCTTTCTAGTGGATCCTCACCTTACACAGTGTCCCATAGCCCTGTGCTGAGTTTGGAGTTCCTATGCTTAGTAACAATTGTCCTGAATTGAAGGCTTTCTCATTCTCAGATGCTTTTTATGTTATTTGTATTTTCTATTTATACATAAATATATACACATTTACATAGCTGTATTTTCTAAGGCTCTATAAAAATGTGCATTGTATTAGTTACACCATTGTATTAGAGACACCATGACCAAGCAATTCATGGAAGAAAGTTTAACTGAGCTTGTTGTTCCAGAGGACTAGAGTCTATCTTGACAGAACAAAAGCATGGCAGCAACAGCTGAGAGCTCACAGCTACTAGCCGGAAAACAGAGAGAGCTAAGTGAAGTGGCTTGAGCCTTTTGAGACCTTAAAGCTCGTCCCCAGTGACATACTGTTGAAGATTAGCTTTGACAAAGCTGTACGTTCCTGTGTAGGACTGTGAGGGTTAGAATTATTAAGCAAAAGGAACAGAGATAAAAGACAAATAAAAGACAGAAATACAGAACAGCCTCAGGAGGTACATTCAGTGAATACTGAAACCACCTGAAGTTATTCTCCACCTGCTTATATACTTCAAAAGGAAAGAGAGAAGACAACAGACTTCATTAACATGATATAAGGAACAGACTTGAATTCTCTAGCCTTTGGCCCAGGTCCTGATCCACCTCGACACCCAAAATACTGAGTAACCATACCCCAGGTCAGAATTGCTCGTTTGTGGGTACACCTATTGTGAACAACTTTGAGAGAGCTCTAACTCTCTGACCTCCAGTCAAAGTGAAACAGGCTCACAACTGTGGGTCCCCGCACATACTTTCTCCGGCCAGTGTACACATCCTAATCCTCTGTAACAGCCACCAACTGGGCAAGTATTCAAATGCTTGATATTTATGAGGAACCTTTCATTCAAACTACCACATGTGTGGGTATATTAAACACTTTGGAATGGTTATATAATCCACTGTGATTGCTTCATAAAGAAAAGGAAGAAAGACAGAACAAGGCAAAGTAGTTGCCAAAGTGAGTATAATACCTTAATATTTTACAAGGAAAAATTTTTTATTAAAATGATCTCATTTATCCAGGCTGAATAAAACTCCTATGAGTATATACACCACATTTTCTTTGTTTATCTATTGTTGGATATCTGGGTTACTTACACATCTTGACTATTGAGAACAGTACTGTAATAAGCCTGGTTGTCTAAATATTTCTTTGGAATGCTTGCTTAGATTCCTTTGGGTATGTATATGCCAAGGGATGGTTTGACTGAATCATAGGGTAGTTCTATGTATTTATTGTGATATCCTCTAACTGTGTAGCTCTGGGGGCCTAGAATTCTGTATGTAGACTACACAGACTTTGAACTCAGTGTCAGGGTCAGATCTGCCTGACTCTGTTTTTCAAGTGCTGGGATTAAAGGAGTGAGCCACAAATGTGTAGCACAATTAATAAAAACCAATAGACAGAAATTGGCATTCAGCTTGAAGGTCAAAAAAAGCAAAACAGCCAGCCACTGGCTCTTACCTCTACCTCAATCCGAAATGGCAATCCTGCCTCCAGGAATCTCAGAATGAGACTATCTGAGAGCTGTCTCCTCCTGTTTTATATTCCTCTCTAGTGTTGGGATTAAAGGCATACACCACTACCTCCTGGTTTCTACGGCAAACTAGTGTGGCTACTGGGATTAAAGGTGTGTGTCACCACTGCTTGGTCTGTAAGGCTGATCAGTGTAGCTGTTTTAGTCTCTGAACTTCAGGCAAGCTTTACTTATTAAAATAAAAACGAATATCACTGCACCCATGCCTGGCCTGCTTTTGTTTTTGAGGAATACCTATATTGATCTCCACAGTGGCTGCACCAGTTTTCATTCTCACTGCAACTGTATAAGGATTCCTTTGCCCTCCATCTCAACAGTACCTGCCGCCATTTGTTTTCTTGATAATAGCCAATTTGACTGTGACGAAACAGATTTGAGAAGCAATTTTAAATTACATTATTATGGTGACTAAGGGTGTTGAATTATTCCCCCCCCCCCTTTGGTTTATCAAGACAGGGTTTCTCTTTATAGTCCTGGCTGTCATGGAACTTGCTCTATAGACCAGGCTGGCCTCAAACTCACAGAGTTCTGCCTGCCTCTGCCTCCAGAGTGCGCCACTACCACCCAGCCATATATTTATTTTTGATATGCTGTGTTCATTTGTACTTCTGACTTGCTTGCATGTACGTCTGTGTACCACATGCTTATCTGGAGCCTGAGGAAGCCAGAAGGTATTGGATTGTTTTGTAAACTGCCATGTGGGTACTAGAATTGATTCTGAATCCTTTGGAAGAAAAGCAAGTCATCTTAGCTGCTGAGCTATGTATTATCTCTGTAGCCCCTGAATCTCTTTTATTGAAAAATGTTTTCAATTTATTTTTCCATTTGTTTATTGGATGATATAGTTTTTGAATGATTAGTCTTTTGAGTTTCCTACTGAATTTAAGTATTAATCTTTTATGAGATATATTTTTCTCCCATCCTGTGTGCTGTCTCTTCAGTATGTCAATTCTTCCTTTGCTGAGCATCGCTGTTTTAGTTTCATCCAATCCCATTTGTCACTTGTTGGAATTACTTTTTCTGCTGATAGAGGCCTTTTTAGAAAGCCCTTGTTTATTCCTACATCTTGAAGACTTTTCTTCGTATATTCTAGTGATTTTAAAGTTTAAAGGCCTACTTAAGGTCTTGAATTGATTTTAAGTTGATTTTTGTTGTGTGAGATTTTATTTTGTTGTTCTACTTAATGAAAATACAGGTTTTCCACACTGTTTGTTGAAAATGCTCTGCCCTCCTCTGTGTATGTGTGTGTGTGTGTGTGTGTGTGTGTGTGTGTATAAGATATGTCCATGATTACATGTAGCTGTAGTTGTGCGTTTTTTTTTTGTCCCCCTGGGTTCCTACTTAGCCACATGAGCAAGAGTAGAAACATTGACATTATAGTTACACTGTGTTGCTAAATAGTGATGCTGTGTAGGTTATGTATATCAAATGCATTTGTTGTTCTGATGTGGAGTCTTGCTGTGTTGCCAGGCAGTCTTAGAACTGTTGATCTTAGGGTGGCCTTGCGCTCCC